CTAAAGTTCTAGACTAAATACATTTTAAGATTACCTTGAGAAGCACCAAATGATTCAATTGAAAGAACTCTTCTTCCAACAGCAGAGAGGCTTCGACAAATATTACTTGAGGAGGCAATCTTCATTTTTTCTTCACATAATGACAAAATGCTCTAGAGAAAATTAACATTAAATACTTATTATGATGAAAAATAAGAATAATAATGAATAGATTTGTGAATTTTGACTAAAGTGAATCATTTGAACTCCCACATTGCATCTGAATTTATACTATACTACACTGGAGGTCTTTCTTGCACTATTCATTATACTGTGTTTCTATTATGTAGTTGAATTAATTTCTGTTTTTTACCATGGGCTATTATGAAATCATTTAATACAGTTCAAGTTTTAGCCTACAGTTAGAACACCAAGAACAACTGATAAAAATTATCTTGAATTTTATTCTTTATGAATAACATACTGAAATGTAAAAAGCTAGTGTTGAGTACTTTTTTAAACAGCCAGTGATTCACTTGAATTGAGTGACATGGGCAGGATGATGAATGTTCCTGAAATTACATTAAAAGTAAACCCTGGATCTTTTAAAAACTGCAAAATACAAATATCTAGAAAGCACTATTCCCCATTAGAGAAAGTCATCTTTATTAGCTCACAAGAAGTAACAGTACTTCATATCTCTAATCTCTAGCCTGAGCACCATTTGATAGCATTAGCACTGGTCTCATACACAGTTAACTACAGATATTCACACATTTAAAAACCTGTCCCTTTGGGTGGGAAGGAGCAGAGAGCTGCATTTCCAAATGCATCCCACCGTCTCCTCACATAGCTCCGAGGAGATGCTCTTTCCCATTAACTTACTCAGCTGCTCTTCTGCTGTTGTGAGTGAAAGGAAGAAATTGGTGCTGTAGGTTCACACACTGGAGTAAGGAAGGACAGGAAAAAGGGAATCAGGTGTCCAGCTGTGCTGGTGTCCAGTGAAATCCCTAGAAATGCCTATGGGTTTTCCCTCCATATAGCTCCCCAACTCCATTCCACCCAATGGAAAAGGAACAGAAAAAAACATACACACAAAGCGACCTTAATATATTACCCTAGACCAGCCCTGACACACATTCTTTTTGGTTCAGCAATAGCTTTCAGGGACTACAGACCACTGTACACTATCAGCTCAGGAAGAAGAAAAACCTACAAAAAAACCCCACAGAAAAGTAGATAGCACTATTCTGAGTAGAAAAACTGAGTCCAAGAAAAGTCACATTGGACAACCGTTATTCTATGGCTACATTCTCAAAGTCTGCAAAAACATTAAAGCTAAACTTTCACATATTAATGTGAAATAACACACTATTAGGTAGCCAACAGAATGTAAATTCTTTGAAAACATCAGCTTGAAGAATACTATACAGTTTCAAATTCTTTCCAACAACTAAAGGTAAAATAAGAGGCTAAATAGAATAAAATACAAGTTCGAATAAAGATATATAATGAAATACTACGAAGTTTTTACATATTTACAGAAAAACAGCTTAGTAGTAATGCTTCAAACAGCATTGTTTTGAACATGCTGTGGAACAGACGTTTCTGTGGCATGGCTCCCTCCATCCTCTTCTTAAATGCAATCCAATCATCATACAAATTTCACAGTATAATACCTGTGCTCTTATGTCTAATGACTCTCTCTTTGTAAACTAAATATTAAATGGGAAGAAATAGTTAATGAAATATTTAGGTCCACCAGTGTATTCACCCAACCCTCTTAAAAAAAAAAAAAAATCAAAGCACTGCCAAGCATTTACATCATCTTTTCAGGTTGTATTTCCATTAGAGTAGGAAAAAAGATTAATTTCTGCTCAGTCTGGAAACAGCTCAGCTTTCCTGCAAAACTCGAGCATATCAAAACCATTCTCTGTTAATGAGAACACAAAGAAATATTTTTCTAACTTTTCTTTTAAACAGAAAATTATGTAGGGCTGTTTTACCTCAATATCTGGCCTATTTTCAGGATTCTCTTCTTGCATTTGTTCCAGTAGAGTGTGCAGATCTTGGCCAAATTCTGATTCTGTCTCAGGTTCTACTATATATTCTATTGCTGCTTTCAGTGTTGCACCCAAAGAGTAGATGTGTGCCTGCATGAAGTTCAAAAAAGAGACATTAAATATGCTACCAATTCTCTTTCTCCTTCCACCAAAGCTTCAAGATCACACAGGACACAGTTTACACTGTTTTCAATTTTAATTTACAAGGTAACAGTTTGCTGAAAAGCTGGTCTAATTTAACCATGAAGAACAAAACCAGTTTCAGTCCTGCCTTGGGTGATATACTTATTGCAAACAGAAAGAAATAATCTTATGGGGTCCAGCTAGAACTTTTTTTCCTTCCTCATCAATAATCAGTATTACATGTATTACATCAGGCTACAGTTTGACATAAAACTCGGACTTCTGTGTTTGTGTGTAAGTATTAAGTTAGAAGCATGCTGGGAGATTGAAGTGACATTCCTCTTAGCAGGGAAACAAAATATTAATTTGACAAGAAGTTCTATATATAGCAAATTTTATAAGTGCTATCAAGCATAAAGAAAGCAAGCAGAAAAAATACAGCATAATACCACTTGTTTCTGAAGACACTTAATAAAGAATTTTTAAAAATACTCCACGTTTGCCACCTCTGCTTCTCAAAGTCCACAACCTTGAGATGAGCTCAAATAAAAATGGTGGTGAACCAGCAATTTTTTTAAATCCAGTGCTAATGCAACACATTTGCCATAAAACACAGCTACCTCTAATTTTACAATTATTCTGCTTCTTGGGGGAAAAACCAAAAAAGACTAAAAAAAACAAAGACCTTCTCAGATCTACTTTAGGAGTAATGATAATTTATCCACGATGGCCTGTATTTTATGTTCAAGTCAGAGAACACAATTCAGTAAAATTTATAAGCAAGATTATAAGTGCAAGTTTGTGTAAACCTTTCAATGATGATGCAGTATAGCCAGGAATTCAAGTGTACTGAACACAGCCCTCTCAGATTTACAGATACATACATAAATAAAATAATGACCATGCCTGTACATTAAATCTGGCTATTCAGTCTCCTGAGCTGGAAGTATACATGATTAATGTAAGTCTGTCATAACAGGAGGAACGAGAAAATGAGTTTGTGATCATCCACTAGGTGGGGCATTCCCCAAGTTAATGCATCAAATCTGCTTCTACTTATCACACTGTTTAGGCTCAGGAAGAAAATTTTACTTTCTGGGAAAGGAGAGCAAGATGAGTATATGCAATAAATAAGGCAAATTCTTAAGTATGAAATGCCTAATGCTCATTAGAAGTGGCTGCTCTCAATGAAAAAAATTTCACAAGCAAGCTAAGGATTCTTCAGTATGCTCTGTGGAGGGTAAGAGTTAGGAAAGGACAGCAAACAACCTTTCCTTTTTTGGAAGACCGGCCAGAACTGGTACCGAATGTTATTAAAGAATTATGAAAGCTTTTTTCCCTTAATTTCTGAAAAAAACACCCGTAAAAAAACCCAAAAACCAAACAAGCCCACTACCAAAAAAATCCAACAAAACAAACCAACAAAAAAACCACCTTACAAAAGAAAAACAAACCAACTCCCCACCACATGCCTCGGTTTAAATCTATATTAAATCTAGAAAAGGAGAATAGCTTTTGAATTATAGGTATTTTGCATTACAGGATGAGAATAATATTAATAGCTGATAAATAGGATGCATTTCCAGAAAGATCCTGAAAAAAAACCCCAAATAACTCCAAGGCAACCTCTTAACAATTCCTAAAAAGACTTTTAAGTGAAAAAGACTAAATGTCACTTGTTACTAAAATACATAAACCATGCAGCAAGGCTGCCCCACAGTATCAGCTTCAAAAAGGAGGGGGGAAAGACACATTAGGAAACCAGCTCCTCAGATTTTGTCTTAGAGAATACATATACTCTTAGACCAAAGTTAGTAAATATAACAGGAATTGTAGGTAAATCATCATTGTAGACCACCATGGAAATAAAGTGCTCTCTGAAAATCACAACAGCAACACACACACAAAAAAAGAAATTTAAAGAGTCACAAGTTGATTTGAGGTCCTTGAAGTCTTTCTTTCAGCAACATGCTAAGGGAGCTCATGTATTTCGGAGAAAAATTTAAAGGTCATAATCATACAAGTAGCTTCAAATCAAAATAATTTTTAATACTAGAGTGGTTTCCAAGACACAAAAAGACACAAGAAACACACATACAAAAGATAAAAATTCAAAAGATGAAGATACTACATTTTTTTTTAAATGATCAGACTGTACTGGAAGCACTTACCAAGGGAGAGGGCAGCTTCTGCCATCAGGTTAAAATTTTTTATCATGATTGAAATACTTTCAAAAAAAGCTTCTATCAGATATAATCAAAAGTTATTTGCTTTCCTGCATGCCATTTTATGACCATTTAACACTAAAGGAAGTGAAATCAGAGAACAATAATGATCTACTCTAGTTTTAAAATCTGCAAATCAAAAGATCAGCAGAGGAAGTAAAAGCTCCAAGTCTACAACACACAGACCACGACAGAGGCATTGTTGTTTTACTGTTTGACAGAACTAAACTTCTCTAGGAACTCATACTTGCAGACAAACTCTACAGAAAAAAGTTGACAAAAGAGCTTTTGAATAGTGACTGCATAAGCATTTAACATATTACAATTACGAATAATGACCATTTATATTTTGTATTGAGATTTTCACTGTGTTCAGAAATGTAGGTCTTCTGAAGAATTGAAAAAGAAAGACCATAATACAACTAGTATTCTCTGTAAAGTATTTCTGACTAAATGACAACCTACAGGATGACAACTCTTAGTTTTGACATTCACATCTGACTTTTATTTTACCTTGCAGTTTTTCTTTTCTTTTTTTTTTTTTAATTGAGATTGCACAGATATAGATGCTTTCACCCTTTCACAATTCAAAGCATTTAAAGGTTCCGTAAATGAAAGCTTCAGTCTTGTTACAAAACTCAACATTTTATAAAGAAATCCAAGGTAATGCTTGAGAAAATTACTACTGGGAGACAACATTTAATATTTACCTATGTCATTTTTCCATGTAGTCACTCTAAATGTACTATTTTTACACAAAAGACAGTAAAATTCTTCAGCAGGAAAATGAAAGGGAAATAGGCCTATTACTTTTAATACTTTCCTTTGCTACAAAGGGACTAAATGCCTTTCTGCATAACTGTATTACTGGATGGCGCTGTATTAAATATTAGCTTTATAGTCATTTGGCACACTGGATGTATAATTAGTCTGCAGAATGTGCTAAAAGTGTTAAACCACTGTAGACTATACACAAAACACATACTCTAGCTTGAATTGATAGCAAATGCTGGAAAAACATTTTCTACTGAAGCTGTAATTGCCATTTGTCCCTTCTACCTACAGTTCACTTCATCTGAAAAAAACTCTTCCCCAAAAGACTTCTAAAAAAGTAGTGGGACCAAAGGCAGGTAAAGGTCAGATTTTCTCACAGCCAAAGTTTGCAGGTATTTCAACTCTCAAATTGCTTTTTAATCTACCTAAAAAATAAGTGAAAGCTTTCAAGTTTTAATATGTTGTTAGGCAAACATCAGGTCATCGGTTTATATCGCAAAACACAAGCAAGGCTTCACACATACAATCATCTACAAAGCAATACAACAACGTAAGGAGGGGGGCATCAGGCATCGCAAAGCATCGCCAGCTGGTCGAGGGAGGGGATTGTCCCTCTCTGCTCTGCATTGGTGCAGCCTCACCTTGAATACTGGTCACCACAGTGTAAGAAAGATATGGAGCTCTTAGAGAACGTCCAAAGGAAGGCAACAAAAGGGGAAGGGCCTTGAGGAGTATGAGGAGAGGCTGAGGGCACTTGGTGTGTTCAGCCTGGAGAAGAGGAGACTGGGGGGAGACCTCACTGCAGTTACAACTTCCTCATGAGGGGAAGCAGAGCAGCAGGCACTGATCTCTTCTCTGTGGTGACCAGTGATGGGATCCAAGGGGATGGCCTGAAGTTGTGCCAGGGAAGATTTAGGTTGGATATCAGGAAAAGTTTCTTCACACAGAGGCTTGTTGGGCACTGGAACAGGCTACTCAGGGCAGTGGTCACAGCACCAAGCCTGAGTGCAAGAAGGGTTTGGATGATACTCTCATTGTGTGACTCTTGGGGATGGATGGTCCCGTGCAGGGCCAGGAGTTGGACTCAATGATTCTTGTGGGTCCTTTCCAACTCAGCATATTCTGTGATTCTGTGAAAATCTAAACACACTTGGAAAGAGCATGTATCACACATATTATGGCTGAATCTTATCTAGTCCCTGCATTTTACTACGTTTTGGTTTCTTGTGATCTATATTTATATCATTCAGTTTGAACTGAGGAAGACTACCTAGTACATCAACCTAATCTCAGTTTTATAGCTGTGGGCTTCATGTCTCAAATGATTCATGACAACAGTTTTATCTCCATGAATTTGTTTAAACTCTATCCACACTCAACCTTTTTGCATCTACGCTTTGCAGCAAGAATTTCCACAGTTTACTGCATAAAAAAGTAGCATTTCCTCTTTTTAAGTCCACCCTTATTGTTGCTACCTACTTCATTTATGAGAGCTGACAAATAATCACTCCATGGCTGCTGCCACAGCACACTCCACAGATTCCTAGCAGAGCTTCTCCCTTGGGGCATTCTCTTCCAGGCTAAAGAGTATTACTTGAAGTAAAAGCCTTCATAAAAGAAGCAATTTCACCATCTGGTTCTGGAAATTTATTTTACTGCTAATTTTATCAGGTTGGCCACCAGTCTGTTCTGACACTCTTACTTGAGCCAAATATTTGTTAATTCCCCATAAAGAAGATTTGCAATGTATGAACCTACTGAAGATCCTACAAGATTAAAATGTGTTCAAAAAAATTAAACAGTTTTTCCACGATGGTTTTCTCAGTTTTCTTTTACAAACTCTTTTGTATCTTGTTCATTTGCAAACATTGCAAACTTCGGGCAGCAACTGTGTGGTTTGATAGATTTGAAAAAAATCAGTTTTTTAGTCTTTTGTAAGCTTTTTTGAATACTTTTTGACAAACCTCA